TGTAAAAAGTTAACTATAACCGAATAAAAGGAGCCGGCCAAGAGGCCACCTTAACATCAAAAAAAAATTATATATATATATATTTTATTTAGAAAGCATATTGCTAAAATTAATATTTAAAATTTTATTAAAAAATTAGAGTTTAAAAAAATGAATGCAAGCAAATTTGTCTGTATTACAATTTAAGAGATAGATACAGAGAGTTTAAATAGATAATTTTTAGTTGGGTTATAGATATAGTATCTAGTATAAAACTCATAGTATACTATCTATATACAGTCTATTTAAATAGACAACTAAAAGTTATATATATATTTTTAAATATATATAGTATAGATTCTATACTATAAAAGTTAATAGTAATTGAATAAAAGAAATACAACCAAGAGATCATTTTAATATCAAAAAAAAAATAAAATAAAAATTTTTATTAAACTTGGTTAAGTAAATATTGAAATATCTTTATTGTTTAGTTTCAATACAGTCAAACCTCTATAAATGCAACATGTACAGACTAGTCTAAACCGTACATTTAGGGAGGTTTGCATTTAAAGGGAGCCAATCAAATTGCAGCTTTTAATATTTGATCTGCAAATTTGTATAACAAACTTAAATACTGACTTCTGATTGGCTACGTGCACTTAGAGAGGTTAGTATGATATAAAAAATCTTTTGAGTAAACATACATTTGCAGAATATAGAACGTGTATTTAGTACTAATGATTTCATATAGCCAAGACAAAAACGTGCATTTAGAGAGATATTGCATTTATAGAGGTTGCATTTAGAAAGGTCCGACTGTAATTTTTTTTTATTATTTAACCTAAAAAATTTTATACAACCAATCAAATTTAGTAATTATCTAAAATTTTTAAATTTTTTAAACTTCTAGTAAAAGTTCTCAATAACTACTTGATCAAATTTATAAACTTTTTTATTTCAATTCAATATATTTGTAGAATCAAAATAAAAAAAATTATTGAATTTGGTTTAGTAGTTGTTAAGAAATCTTAGTTAGAATTTAAAAAAATTAGAAAATCTTAGAAAAAAAACTAAAAATTAGGTAAAATTTTCTTTTTCTAAACTTTAAACAAAGATTTTTTAACAACCACTTATCCAAATTTGATAAAAATTTTTGGATTAAATAAATTTGCACACCATGTATAGCTGTGCATAGGATCATAGATCATGTACATAATCGACAAATAAATATGTTATCGACAAATAAATATTAAATAAAATAACAGATTGAGTTATGACATAGTAAAATTTTATATAAATAAAAAAAAGAAGTAAAATGATCTTCTTTTTGTGAGGCCAGTGAATAAAATAAAAAATCAATATAATGAATATCAACACTTATTACACAGCATATAGCACTTCGAATAGTATATAGCACTTTGAACCATATACAGCACTTTGAATCGTATACAGCACTTAGTACACAGCACTTTGAATCATATATAGCAATTAATACACAGCACTTAAAACCATGTACCAATTTATCATAGTAAAATGATCTTCTTTCTGTAAGACCAACGAATAAAATAAGAAATCAATATAACGAATATCAACACTTATTATACAGTATATAGCATTTAGAATTGTATATAGCACTTAGGACCGTGTATCAGTTTATCGGCTTTTATCTAACCACGTGGTACTTGTATTTGTCTTTAACGGCATGTTATTTGAGTTACAACAAAAAAGACCTTGAAGCATTATTACTTTAGAAAGATTATTTTTTAACCTTAACTGGATGGAACATCATGTAAAAATTTACAGATTTGATTTAAACATTAATTGTTTTGGATTTTATCTAATCCATATCTCTCTTTTAATTAAGCAATGCCTTTTTAATCAGAATGCTAATACAGAAGTTGAAAAAACCTTAAAATCGTTACAAAATGAGAACCCGGATATTGACTTTAATGAAAGAAGATACCAAATAAATTAATTACTTATCTAATTTACTGTTAAAGATTGTCTTTAAACTTATTCTATCATGTGATATTTTTAAAAATTTAGAACGTTTCTAATCGTATTATAATAATGAAAGATGAGGAAATATCAAACGATTTCGAACTAGTATCACTACAGAAAGACAACTCATTTTTTGATTTTGAAGAAGCTGAAAACCATGTGCGTAAATTTGCTGAATATAAAGATTTTGGTACTAATTTATTGTCAAAGATTGTCTTTAAACTTACTCTATCATGTGATATTTTTAAATTTAGGATATTTCCAATCATATTATAATAATAGAAGATGAGGAGATATCAAATGATTTCGAACCAGTATTACTACAGAAAGGCAACTCATTTTCTGATTTTAAAGAAGCTGAAAACTATGTGTGTAAATTTGCTAAATATAAAGGTTTTGGTATATGTTTGGGACATGTAATAGCTATTAATAATGCAGAAGGTGAAAGGATTATTTGCAAATATACAATTAACTATAAGCATTCAGGCGTATATAAGCCAAAAAATCTTGAAAAACTGGGCACCTCTATTCAACAAATATGCGAATGGTATATGAATCTCTCTTGCCCCAAAAATAGTTCCCGCATTATTGTAACAACTTTAAAAAATGAACATAATCATGATATATCTCCTGAGGCTATGCAATTTAAAAAAAAGTAGACAATTTACAAAGAAAATGCAACAAGAAGTTGAGTTCCTCATAACCAAATGCCGTTTTAAAGTAACTATAGTTAGATGTATCTTAAAAAAAACTTTCCTATTTCACCTAGTATTTTCTAAAGATCTTTACGCTGAAGTTCAGAAATATCGACCAACTGCAGATATAAATAGAGTAGATGTAGCGCACTTTTATGAACAATTGATTCTGAAAAAACATGAAGATTCATATTGGTTTGTCGAAGTCATATAGGATAAGGAAACAAATACATTAACGGTATTGTTTTGGATGAGCCCCAAACAAGTTCTATTGTGGTGTGAATTTTGTGAAGTAATTGGATATAACAACACTACGGGGACTAATAGGTACTAGTATTGTTAAATTAAATTTGAATGCTATTTAAATTTATTATTAAATTATATAGGCTTTTGCTTTGAAAATGACTTATAGAATATAGTAATTACTATATCTCATTTTCAAGGCAGAGATATGATGTAACTTAGTTATTTTAAGGTTATTTAAAAATTATTTTAAGAGGTTATTTACAGTAATTTTAATCTTTATATATTAACAGGTATCGTATGTCACTTTTTTTATTTGTGGCTCAAGATAATAATATGAGATCTTGTATTGTTGCTTAGGTATTTGTCAGTGATAAAACAACTGAATCATATGAGTAGGTTCTTTGTATGACCAAGAAAGCAACTCATAATTGAAAGTCTAATATCATTATAACTGATAGTGATTTAGCCATGAAACAGGCAATAATCACAGAATATACAGGAACCTAACATCTTATATGTATTTGGTACATTAAAGAAAATATTAAGAAAATGCTATATAGCAAGTTGGGTGACCAATTTGTAGAGTTTTATTCAGCATTTTGGTAATGTTGTAATGCTGATATACCGCATATTTTTGAATATTATTGGAATAAACTTCTTGTTAAGTATCTTTTAGCAAAACTATATCTAGAGCGTCAGCTCTATGAAAGACACCTTTCATAGGTACATGCATTTAGCATACTGGAATTTACACTAGGCATCCAATCGACATCCTTCGTTGAGAGTTAGAATTTATGTATCAAGCATGCTTTAGATAGTAGTAATTAGTGTTGGCAAATAAAACAATAGAACAAAAGCTCAATTTTTTGTCTTTATATAAAAAAATTTTGTTTTATTAATAATTTGCAATTATTTAATATATATTGTTAGAGCATTAGTAAAGTAATAAATTTAAAATATTTTTATATTTAATTAGTAAAATTTAATACTCA